TTCCAGGACAACAGTTTGGGTACCTTTAAGGTATATTTAAAATTTATATAAGATAAAGAAAAGACTGGTTTATTTTTATAAAATGAGGCAATGCATAATGTACTATAATTTGAAATATAATGAGAAGAGAAGTGTGTTAGTTAAAGAGTTCCAATTGTCTCTATGTTATTACAGTCAAACCCTGCTATAGTGAACATTCAAGGGACCGAAATTTTGGTTCACTGAACCGGGAGTCCACTATATCCGTTATGCATGCAATTTAAGTAATGGTTCCCAAGCTCCTCCCTTTTATTACACATTATACAAATAAATGACTTAAAAATATTATGTAGTAGTAAAAAATGTGTTATTTTCATTACTCTTCGTCTTGAGTGCAAAAAAAACAAACAAATTAGTATTTTTTAGCTGATGAGCAATAATCAGTATCAGATATGGAAACACTTCCTGACTCTCAGATAATTTTTCGTGAATTTCGGTTATTCTGCTTTTTAAATCTGTTTAATCTGCCATTCGAGCACATAAAAGTTGCCTCCTAAAATCGCTTAGCAAATTCATCGACATTTGTCCAGATATTGGAAAATTGCGGCTTCTTCGAATGGTGAACCACTTCAGTAATGCTTCTTCAACATCCTTGTGTTTTGCTTTTCTCTACTCTTTTTTGTGCCATCGAAAATTTTTTCATGAGCAGAAATAATTAATTGCCTATTTTTCCCTTTGTTACAAATTGCAGATTTGGATAGTTTATATTCCCTGCAAATATCAACTTGATTCAATTTTTCTGATTATGCCCATTTTATTATCAATGGAGAGCGTTTTACGTTTACTGGTCACCATAGTTAAATTCGAGACACTTGTTTGCATGCCTTTTAACAGAACTGAGAGCAAAAAGGAGTTGAAATGAGGGCATTATCAACACATATTAGTGTCCAACCCTTCGACCAATAATAAATAATTACTCATTCCCTCTGACAAAAAAATGCATATTGATCCCACTGACACCTTACAGGTGCATCATCATGCCTGGGTTGGAAACATTTGCTTGATTTGTTTGGGGATTGGAAAGTGAAATAAAAGAAGCAAACAGGAAAAAATGCTTATCGCTACATTCCCCTCTATAGAGGGTTTTAAACATTGGTATATGTATTTATTTTGAAGCAGAAATTACAAAATTATTACAAGAAAAAAAAAATCAGTTGAAGACAGAAAAAAGTTCATTATATCCAACTTCTTCACTTTTTTGGTTCACTATATCCACAAAAAATAACATTATACATTTATAGCAAGGCACGGAACCGAACATTTCGTTCACTATATCTGGGAGTTCACTATAAACCGTGTTCGCTATAACCGTGTTTGACTGTATTAGTATTTTATTTTTTCTATTCATATGGGCTTTACGATGTTTGGGCTTATGATTAGATTCTCTAATAATTATGAAATGCTAAGTAATCACTTTCCAGAACAACACTTCGGGTACCTTTAATCAGAGATGATTGTGCTCCAGAAAATATCCGGATTTCCGTATTTTTCGCTAACTGTGATCCAGAAATCCAAGGTCCAGAAGTTTCAAGAAATCACCAGTCACATTTATGTATAAAATTGTTTGCATATTTTATTTAAAAATATTAGAACTGGAATTGATGCTTGGCATCTCTTTCATTTGTAAATATTTCTTCTTGAGGAATAATAATGTGATTAGAGATAAAGGTAAACTTATACATAATTATTCATTTAAATGATGCTGCATATGATTTATTTAGAATTTCATGTTAGGAAAATATCAATGATTTAAATTTATAAAGACATTAATTTTTTGAAATGCATCATTAATGATTTTACTCAAGTAATTTTCAGGATTTTTGAGTTGGGCTCACAATCACCCCTGTTTAATGCATATTAAAATTTATGTAAGATAAAGAAAAGACTGGTTTATTTTTCTAAAATGAGGCAATGCATAATGCACTATATTTTGAAATATAATGAGAAGAGAAGATTTGATTATACGATTTTAATATTTATATTTGATTGATTCTAGGGTGGTGGAGGAATAACTTGTATCTTGGATGATGGGGATGTTTTTGAAAAAGCAGGTGTGAATATTTCTGTAGTGCATGGAATATTACCAGCTGGTGCCGTTCAACAGATGCGAGCTAGGTAAGTTAAGTTACCTGGATGACGCCCTTTTTTACAAATTAGTGTGTATTGTACATTTTATTTCTCTGTTCAAGTTATCTTTGTTTACAGTTTATGGGAACTATAAGTTAAGATAACTTTAGGGATGCATTAATGAAGATAACTTTAAGAATATGAGTTAAGATAAATCTGGGGAAGCATAAATTAAGTGTTTTAGTTCAACTCTAATTGTTTCTGTGAGTGTTGTACAATTTTTAAGGCTAATTTTTTTATGGTTATGGAATGGCTAATTAGATGTTATATTTTACTTTTGTTACTATAATTTTTGTTTTCCTTGAGTTTTGTATGTTCAGTTATATAAGTGTCTGAAACTAAAGCAAAAAGCATTTAATTTTGTTGAAAGTAATTTGTTTGTATTCTTTTCAGGGGTAAAAAGTTTGCAAATAGTGATAAGCTCCCTTTCTTTGCTGCTGGAGTTAGCTCTGTTATACATCCAGTATAAACAACTTTTATTTTTTAAATTTTGAATTTTATTTTCTTCAAAACAAATTAATACAGATTTTCTTATTCTTTTCAGAGAAATCCAAATGTGCCAACCATACACTTTAATTATCGTTATTTTGAAGTGAGCAATGGAGATGGAACAACCACCTGGTGGTTTGGTGGGGGAACTGATATGACACCGTATATTTTGGATGAAGATGATTGTCGTCATTTCCATAAAACTTTGAAATCCTGCTGTGATAAACACGATAAGTCATATTATAGTCGCTTTAAAAAGTGGTGTGATGAATACTTTTTCATTAAGCATAGAGGTATGTGTGCTTGCAGTTGCAACTCCATGGTTTTTATTATTATTATTCTTGCATCGCTTTTGAAATTTTTTTCTTTTTCTTATCCTATTAAAAAATTAATATTGTTGACGTTTAAAAATATCAATTACATTTAGCTACATTATATTCCTACATTACATTATATTCCTACATTACATTATATAGCTACATTATTATATGTTAGTTACTAATTTTTATGGGTTGTTTTTATTTACTTTTGATACTCCAAGTTATTTTTTTTCTTATTTTTAAACTAATATACATTGATTTTATAAAGTTTACATTTAAATATTTGTGAAATGTAATTGAGGAATAACTATGAGAAATCATTACCAATCATTACCATTTAAATAATTTGAAATTAATAAACCAGAATCTGTTAATCAAATTTAATTATCTTGTGGCATAGAATATGACAAAATGAGTAACATTATTTAAAAGCAATAAAAAGTTAATAAATGCAAATAATTATAGATTTAAGGTAAATATTAATTTAAATTGAACATTATAAAATGTTTCCTTAAAATTTATCATAAAAATATCTTATTTATTTAATTCTGCTTAGCTGAATCATTCTATTTAGATTATTTTAATTGAAATTTCTTCAGACTCTTTTTTTACTATATTTAATAAAATTTTTTTTTATAAATTCGAATATTTGTATCAATGATAAATCATCATATCTTTTATTTTATTAGTCATGGAGTTCCAAATGAGTATTTGATGATTAGATATATTTTTAAAATAAATATTCTGGATTTTTTTTAAGAAATTATTTTTAAATTTTTATTTCCTTTTTTAAAATAATTTAATTATTGATATAATTAATTGATTTGTTTATTTACTGCTGTAAAAATTTGATATAATGTTTAAATGTTTGAAAACTAAATCCGAACACTTACTTTAAAAATATTTATGTTGTTGCTTTCTTCCCTCTAAATCAAAATTTCTGGATAATTTACTAAAAAAAAAAGAAGAAATATTAATAAATAAATGAATAAAATAAAATAAAATTAAAGTTAATAAAATTTTCTTGTTTTACCTCTCACTGAAATTTAGGAAAATAACTCTTCTGTGAATTCTGTTGATGAATTTACTTAACTTTCTTGTTTACTAAAGCAAATAATTATAAAATATTTGTTATTTAATGTTTTTTAAAACTGTAAAATTAAAGTTCTTATGTAGTAATTACTTTGTAAAATGTTCATAAAAATTACTTATTAATGACTGAAAGTTTTGTAGTTACTTTTCCTGAATATTTTCTAATGAATTTCCATCTGTTTTCAATGTTTCATAATTAATTAATCTAGATCTTAATTAAATTTTTTTTAAACTTTTCTTGTATTTTTTGCACTTTTAACCATTGCATTTTCAGAAATTAAATATATAGCTACCCACTTTATTTATAGTGTATTGACACTATT